GGGGCCCTCTGGCATCCCAAGCCAGCTCTTAACCAACGCGCCACTCGGCTGGCCCTAGTAGGTGTTATTTTTATGCAACTATACAGACGAGAAAATTGAGGCACAATGAAGTTAGTATGGAATTAAAACCTAGGCAGTCACATTCCAAATGTCATAATTTTAATCACTACATTACACTGCTTCTCAGTCAATACAAAAGAATGCACAATTTGAAGAAACACTCCAGGTCTTGGTATTAATAAAATGCCAAGCAAAGAGCTGAGCACTTAAAAAATTTCTCATGTTTCTAATGAGTATCTTTTTTTTTTTAACTTCACTAATGTTTAGCCTTTTCTATCCACAATTATCTCAAAGAAGAAAGAAATCATGTACTCTCATTTGCCACCATAAAAACATCCAATTGGAAAAAGTGTTTACCTGGGTAAATGACTACTAACATACTATTTTACAATATAGAGTTTATTCTCTCTCTCATTAAAGGGAGAAAAATCAAGAATACACAATCAAGTAACAAATGGAAATCCATCACAGATTATGTTTGGAAAACTCTGTTAATTACAGGCATGCACAAAGAAGACCTGAGAAGGCCCAGAGGAAAGTTAGAGGTGAAGCAGATTTGATGACTGAGTTTTGAATGTACTCCCCCAACCCATACACCAATCTACCGGAAGATGGTGAAACACTTATGGCTAGATGTGTTTGAGTGCCACCAGTGCCTAAATTATCAACCACAAAGCTATGCAGACAGCAGTGACTTCCAGAAAGCCAGGCTGAAAAAAATAAAAAACTGAACAGAGATATCAGCAACCACACACTTGGAAGGAAATAAGATTCTGGCATACAGGCAGGCTGCTAAAACAAAAATCAACCCATTAAAAAAAAAAACCCACAGAAGAAAACCAGAATCCAGAATTGCTACAATATATTATCTAAAATGTCTAGTTTTCTATAAAAAAGTTTTAACACATGCGAAGAAAAAGGAAACTGTGACTGATATTCAGGGGAAAAAGTTCAATTAAAAAGGATTATGAGTGGATTCAGAAGATGGACTTAGGGCCGG